TATTACACATTGACTAATAATTTTTATTTCACGGGTTAAACGTTTTCTTGATTTATACAAGTCATTTAAATGTGAACACATGAAACTAAACCCCCGTTTACACTGGCGATTTTTGCGGCGATTTTTGTGGCAATTTTCGGAAATATGAAATCTTTTGTCTCATCCTTCAAAAGAGACATTCGTCTAGGAAAATCTTGGTATCCTGAAAAAAACTTTACAAGTAAATTCTTTACCATTATTTATTATGGACAAAATCGCAAAAAAATCGCAAAAAAATCGCAGCAAAAATCGCCGCAAAAATCGCTAGTGTAAACGTGGCTTAAGACATGTTTTGATATGATCGCCGAAACTTAGGAGTTAGTCAACCGAAAAGCGCATAGTTGGTACGCGGCTCTCTTTTTCCTATTGTTCTATCACCTGTCCTATGTGGCGGATTATCAAATAAATGAGTAAATAAAATAAGCCGGCCGCGATTTGATTCAAGAAGAGCCGCGTGGCAAACGTGCAAGTTCCGATTGACTAACTTCTATGTTTCGGCGACAAATTGGCCACTTTAGAAACGAGAAAAGAGACTGCGGAGAGTTTTGAATTTTAATCTAATTAGCAAATTAAAAGAAAGAAAAAGAACAAAAAAAGAGAACAAAAAAAAGTCATTTGAGAAAACATTTCAACATCCCAACATTGGATGAAAAGAACCAGAATTATTGGCTTTCTAAAATGTTTAGAATTTCCAAAGAATGTATGGTTAATGATAATAATTTTAATAATAGTTTAATACTTATATTGCACGTGTTACATGGGAAGATGCTCACACGCGCATTACAAACTGAAATAGAAATAGAAAAATATACGTGTGTGGACCCGTTGCATCAGCCCCAAAGCAGCGCAACCAGGAGGGCAAGTAACGAACTGGCCATAAGGTAGTGTCTATTGCTCTGCCCACCGAATCACGCCCAGCAGAAGTTGTTGCAAGGGGTCAATGGTTGATAATAATCATGGGTGTGTATGTGTATATATATATATATATATATATATATAAAATCTACTTATAAAACTTATCAGCAAAATGCTTATTGAATAACTGCGTTTTAAGCAGCTTCTTGAATGATTGCGTGCTACTGGCATGCGTATTTCTGCTAGGAGGGCGTTCCACAGCTTAGGCGAAGCACCTTCAAATGTGCGTTCGCCCAGAGTGGTTAAAGATCTAATTCTTGGTGGCTCTCCAGCAACAGCTCTTTGGATGATCTTAAATTGTATCTTGATTCTGCCTTAGACTTAATGAGTTCAGTGATATATTCAGTTGATAGCCCATGGATAGCCTTATAGGTAATAAGTAATCTCTTAAAGTATATTCTGTATCTAACGGGTAGCCAATGTAGTTTGTGCAAGGCAGGAGTGATGTGATCAAATCTACTGATATTACAGATGAGTCGCGCCGCAGCATTCTGTACTCGTTGAAGTTTACATAACTGATTGGCCGGTAGACCATAAAGGAGACTATTACAATAGTCTAGTCGACTAAAGCATTAACTAGAGTTTGCACAGTATCATAACTAAGGAATTTCCTAATACGTCTGATATTAAATAAATGGAAGAAAGCTGCTCTACAGCAGTTTTTAATGTGCGAGTCCATTTTCAGCTGCGTGTCGAACCAACAGCCAAGGTTTTTTACTTAATCAGATGGTACAATGGTTTCATTTCCGAAGCACAGCGACTCGATGCTTACTTTTGCCAATTGTTGCCTTGTTCCAATTGCGATGAATTCTGTTTGTGATCGTTCAGCTTTAGTTACAGGGCTGTCTTCTATAACTGATAAACTAGAGTATTTTTAAAGGAAAAGCTGAAAAGAGGAAATCTATCAAAGATGATCATGTCCTATAGGACCTGCATAATGTGCAATATGCACGAGCAGGAATCTTTAGCACAAAGCATGGACAAGGAAATCAATAGAATTATCAGAAAAAATTATTCTGTTATTTTCTTATTTTTTGTTACTTACACTTTCATAGAAAATGTCGAGGGAAAAATTGTCAGAGGGATTTTTAGAGATGTAAAACCGACAGTACTCGGTTTCCCATTATGCTTTGTGCTGGAGATTCGTGCTCGTGCATTCATGGGCATTGTTCGTGCGCATCCTTTCCACGCATGAATAGCCAATGTGCACGAGAACGAATCCCTAGCACAAAGCATGATGGGAAACTGAGTACTGACGCTTTTTCAGGTCCTCTAAAAATCCCTCCGACAATTTTTCCTTCGACATTTTCAATAGAAATGTGAGTATTTCAACAAGAAAACATAATATTTTTCCTCTGATAATTCTAATGATTTCCGTGTCCTGATTTGTGTATTACTCGGTATTACTTTTTTATCGTTGTGACGTCGTTCCAATTTTTGATAAGCAAAATGACATCAAAACATCTTGAATCTCAATTATTTCTCTTTTTTTTGAAAGTACTTTGTAATACTCTAGAGAAAAAGTTCAAAATTTCTTTTACAGTATTCTTTTTTGTAATCACCTCAGGTACAAACTGTGATTGAAGAAAAACAAAGAGAAAAGATGAGGTTTTCATTGAGGATTGTTATTGGACTTGGTGTATTTTCAATTATTGGTTATGGTATTCATTACTTCAAGTACCTGAGTACTGGTAAACCGTCTATCACACAACCACCTTATACTGATCAAGGCGTTAGCTCAAGAGCAGCTGCCCAATTAAAAAACATCCAGTCTCCAGGTCAATCCAGTAATAATTCTACAAGTATGCGTCCCCCTCAAACTACATGTGGGAAGACCGTGGCTTCAGAACTTATTGATCTCAAGTCAATAACCCCACCAGGAAGACCTAAAGTCATCATCTTTATAAACATTCCTGCAGCAGGAGGCTGGTCCATTAGACGAATTACCCTCCGCAAGACGTGGCTCTCAACAGCAAAGAACTATTCGATTGCTTATCGTTTTTTTACCGACAGCATTGGAGTCAAACCTGAAGTTATTAAAACCTTGGAAAAAGAACGAGAAGAGTTCAGAGATCTAGAGTTTATCCCAACACGCTCTGGATACTGGCTAACTCATCGGTATCTCTTCGCAATGTTCTGGGGCTACGAACATTATGATTTTAAATTTTACTTGAAGTTCGATGACGACTATTTTGTGTGTTTAAATAATTTAATGAACGACATACAATACAGGATGAACGAAAAGCTGCTCTACTGGGGATGGTTCGGGTGCGACCCCAAAATGGTCGCCATGGATGAAGGGTTTGTGATGCTGTCTGTCGATCTTGTTGAAGAAATCATGAAACGTAACAACTCCTTGTGTTGTCATCCTTTTGGAGGACAAATGATTGCCATGTGGATGAACAGATTAGAGCGTGAAGGATACGACACTACTTATTTCCCAGATAACAATCGACTCATGCATATCAGAAGTCACTTCAAGCAAGGGCCAAGCAAGGACATGTGTAAGAAACTACTCGGAATTCACCAGGCTTATCCAAAGTACATGTGGCAATACTGGAATTTAACAAAGGACTCTTGGTTTTCCCTGAAAGGAGATGATTTTGAAAAGGTCGAAAGGAAACCATTTAATTCTTATTGTAAGCTGAAAAAAGAATGGGACTGGCGAGTGCTTGGTTCGTTCTGGAAACATGAACCCAAGCCTTGTTGGCTGCCTGGGCTTGAATGGGATGCGCGTCTTCAGAAATACAAAAACGTGCAAAGTAGGGAACTGGAAGAGTAGAAGGATAGCAAACAGCAGATTTTGGAGCTAGATATTCAGAATATAGTGCTATATACAGATCGACATATAGTAGAGTGACCACAGTAAGTCCGTGAAACTTTAGTAATACTAAATAGCACAATCTCATGCAAATTCCATTGTTTTCTATTGTTTAAATAGCACTATTTTGTACTATTTAGTAATTAGTGTTTCACGGATTGTTTGCACTCCAATATAGCACACCATAGAAAAATACAGCCAATAAGCCTGAAGCGAGATGACGTTTTACCCCCGCCTCTAGACCATAATACTTTTCACACTGCTTCTGTTCTTTAATTATGACTATTGTTCCTGTATTTTCTAAGGAATCAAAAATTTTAATATGAAATAATTTTAAAAACTATTATGGTATAGAGTCGGGGGCAAAACGTCATCTTGCTTCAGGCCTATTAGAAGGCAGGAAACCTGTTGTACAATCGTCGGTTAAAGACCTTTTTAAGCCAAAAAAGTGTATTTTCTCGGGACACACCATGGAATATCCGACTTGTCACCTGTATTTTCTTCTACTCTTCTACTACATCCTTTGCAATGGTCAACAATGCTAATTTAATCTAGCTTTATCAATGATATAACTGCTTTGTATATAGAATCCGACTATATGCAATATATGACTACCACTACCACTACCACTACCACTACCACTACCACTACCACTACCACTACCACTATCACTACCACTACCACTACCACTCCCACTGCCACTGCCACTGCCACTGCCACTGCCACTGCCATTTATTATACACGTCTAATTAGTTTAGTACATGCGTTTATACACACAAACATTTATAATGGATGATGGTTCAAAATCCGAAGGCTCGTAAAATAATCAATACATATAAATGAAACAACAGCTGAATATTTAACTTATGACACCTACATACGAAGAAACCTTCTATTTAATTAATTATTTATTTAATAATTATTTATATAATTGCAAAATAATAATGTAATGAAATGTTTCACAGATGACGTAAGGATTATGCGTGATATGATTGCAATGTGGAGAAGCCAAGCTAAGCCGCGCACACGCTAATATGCTGCAGCAAGAGAAAATGAACTAAGAGAAGGAATTCCCCCTATATAGCCTTGTAACCATCATGTGCACAGTTTGATGCTATTTTTAAACCATTTGTTTTTCGCTCTACGCTGTTTGCTTACGTTTTTGGTTTTTTCCCGTTATTTCGACTCTGCCCTGAATATGAATGTGCACGTCGAAAGCTTGGCAAATACGATAGGAAATTGAAGTAGTAATTTGTTCAATTTGGGATCAAATGGGATTTTGGAAAAAGGTTTTACTTTCTTGAATAAAGATTTATTGAATCTCTAAATATTTCCTTCCATTCTTACTTCACTTGGATTCTAAATCTATTTATCTTTATATAATTATTTAGCATTAGTTACAATTACTTGGTGGGTGGGTGGATGGATGGATGGATGGATGGATGGATGGATGGATGGATGGATGGATGGATGGATGGATGGATGGATGGATGGATGGATGGATAGGGGATGGATGGATGGATGGATGGATGGATGGATAGATGGATGGATGGATGGATGGATGGATGGATGGATGGATGGATGGACGAGTGGAAAAAAGAATAAATGAATGAAAATGGAAGGTACTTAGAGAAATAAACATAGGATGAAAAGAATGAAGGGAGAAAGAAATTAAAAATGACAAAGAAAGAAGGAAATACAAATAATGAACAAAATACTAAAGAAAAAGAATATTGAGTGTAAGGGAGAAAATAAAAAAATGCAACCCAAATTAGTCTAAATCCACAAAATTTAAAGAATTTGATACAATTAATCTTTATTAACGGCGTTTTCAATCGGGGAAGTCTCTGGGTTCGATACTGACTTGGTTTTTGATAGGTAGCCCGAGTAATTGTGTCCAGGCTTCGCTCCAAATTCAAATTCAAAATGGAGGACGAGGAAGAAGTTGTATCTGATATTCACGTCTTTATTCCTTTCCAAAGAAACAACTCGGACAATGTAGGCAAGTATCTTAATTTGTTTAATGTTGTACGAGAACTGGTGTCCCTTTTTTGTCAAAAAATTCTGTAAAATCTCATTTCTTAAGTTTTTTTTGTTGTTGAAAAAAACGGTATTTGGAAAATGAAGAATACTTGCCTTCTTTGGACAAGCTGGTTCTGAGGAGGGTACACTGTGTAGCATTAGAAAATATCCACACCTCCCCCATGGAGGGTCTGAGAAGAGTATATTTGGCAGAACTTTATGGAAACTATCCATATATATTTTTAATCAATCAAAAAAATTCATAGAAAACTTTGACTTTGAATTTTTAGTGTATACAAGATTCCATGTGAGATGTCACTTTGATGATGATGATGGCGAAGATGATGATGATGAAGATGATGATGACGAAGATGATGATGATGAAGATGGTGAAGATGATGTGACTCATGGTGTATCATTCGGCAACATTCCATGCGACGATGAGGGGGATTATGTGATAAAACGGCGAAAGAAAAACATGCACCAATCAAGTGAAGTCATCACTATAGGTTTGTAGATAATGATTATTCTTTTTGAAATTGTTTCTTTTTGGGTATTTCTGTTAGCCATTTCTGAAGGAATTGCATTGCCTTTAACACTGTTTTTATTGTTACACACTGATTGAGATAACAGTCACAAAGCTCGGCACCTCTACATGCTCTGATTGATGCACTTTCATAGTGGTTCAAGTCTCTGAATCAGCGCCTAGCAATAAAGCAAAAGTAATACGTTTTTGTATATTTTATGTTTTAGAACACCAACTTGCTACTGGTCTGAAAGATGTTGGGTTGCAGGTAAAATGTCTTAGGTTTTTCAAAGGGAATAGTCCCCTTCACAGTTCCCTGTGCCATCTTGAAAGGTAGCCGTGCCTTTGCATTGAAGTGAGACGAACGGTGAGCTTGCAATGATAGAGACCTTTTTTAACGCCTTGGACAATTATTCACACATCTCTATCGTTGCAAGCTCACTGCTCCTCTTGCTTCAATGCAAATGCACGGCTACCTTTCAAGATGGCACAGGGAACTGTAAAGGGGACTATTTTTTAAAAGGACCCCCTCCCCCCAAGGAACTTTCAATCTTCTTCCATACACACTCTGTATTCTCTGTACCCCCTCCCCTCTAGAATTTCTAATTTCCTCTGTTGGTGGGGTATGGATATATTTTGGAACTACACAGTCTCATAAACATTTTATTGGAACATGTTTCTCAGTGTGGTTTCTATCTTGAAAATTGAAGGTTGCTGAGTGGCAGTGCGACACTCACCTCTCATTCTGGTCAGTCCCAGGCTTGATTCCTGGCCTCTGCATTATATGTAAATAGAGGTTGTAAGGCTGCGTTCATAATGTATGGCAGAGAGGGGGGGTAGGTGAAATTGAGGGGGGATCGGGAAATTTTGGTAGGAAAAAGGGGGGATGGGTAAATTTTTATCAGAAAAATGGGGGATGCACAATTTTTTTAAGAAGTTACAAGCCTTGCTTAGGGGGGGATCGGTTTTTTTTTATGCATGACTTTAAGGGGGGGTGTTAAGAATTATTCTGGACATTTCAAATTTTCACCTGCTCCCCCCCCCTGCCATGCATTATGAGTGCAGCCTTAGGTCTCTTGTGATTTGAAATAAAGGGTGGTACTATTATCTCATCTCCGATCCCAGGCTTGATGAACAGAAATGCACTCTTGATTTCAAAACTATTTTTAGACTGCTTTTGTAACCAGTGATATTGACTTCATCAGGTTTGGAGAGGTGCTCTGTTGATGGCCGATTTTATTCTCAACAATGAACAGATGTAAGTATTACTATAGTTTCAGTGAGTAAAACTTACCACTAAGAAAAAAGTTATGTTCTTTGGGTACTACAGCACTACTCTGGTCATGGCGTCATTCAGACTTGGGGTTACAGTTTTGATTCTCAGCTGAAACTTGCAACTGAAAAGAGTTTGTTTGATTTGTTGTTCTAAAAGTCATATCGATGATTCATGAGGAAAAAAACACAAAGAAGAAAACCACAAGCGCAAAAGGAGGTTTGGAAATGTGTTTTTAATTAGCATAAAATATTGGCAACTTATGTTTGAATTTGTATATGTAATAGAACTCCATGCTGTCCAATTAAGAAATAATTGGACGAGGAAAATTCCGAGGAATGACAAAATTGGATGAGCCCGTAGGCCGAGTCCAATTTGGCAGTCAGAGGAATTTTTCGAGTCTAATTATTTCTTGATTGGAGAGCATGAAATCCCATTACCTATTAATTATATAGCTGCCTAATTAATCCCATATCAACAAGACCTATCCAATTAAGAAAAAAATTGGACAGTTACCTATATGGGATTAATGAGAAGCTGTATAATTACTCCAATAATTATTAGTAATTTGAAAAGCCATATCAAGCACTTGAAAGAGTATTTCATCCTTTATTCAAACTACTGAGGTAAAAAAAAACTTTTTTCCGGGTTCTCCTGGCAGTTTTCACCTCATGGTTAAAATCAACATGTCGGTAAACACTCAATGTAGTAGTAGTTTGAGTCGAGGAGCCCCATGTGGGAGTGATGAAAATTTTTTTTTCCTGTGTTTCAGGTTCAGTGGCTGCTATGTCATGGAACTAGGAGCTGGTGTGGGGTTGTGTAGTATTGTTTTAGGGAGAGTTGCTAGCAGAGTATTTTGCACAGGTAGGTAAACATAGGAATGTTGAATGGATGAATGAAGAGAAGAATAGATAGGAGATGGATGGATGAATGGATGAGTGGATGGGATAAAATGAAATAGGATGAATAGATGGATAAGTGGATGGGATAGGATGGATAAACAAATTGATGAATGGATGGTCTGCATGTATGCTAAAAAACATATTTGTGTATAGAAATTGCCACTACAGACCCCCAGTAGCAAGCATTTGAACAGGTCTCTGAGGGGGGAGGGGGTATGTACCGGTACCCACCACCTTAATTCATAAAATCGAGTCCCTATTTTGGACCATTGTTTTGACCTTACCCCTTAATTGACCTCATTTGAAGTGTACATTTTTCTGCCTTTTCAGAAACTGGTCATGAAGCCATTCTTAAGAACTGTAAACAGAATGTAGAAACAAACTCCCATCTCTACAGGAATGCAACAATGAAAGAAAATGGTATGTCACAGCCTAAAATAAATGGTTAAACAGTTGCAAGTCTTGATCACCAAACAAAGTAGTGTTAGCTCAGTCAAACCTCATTTCTGGCTCAACATTTGTGATCAAAATGACCAGCAAGACAAAAATTTAACCAGACATATTCCAATTCTGGCTGGACATTGTTAGATGACCTGCCATTTTTTAATCATCGTATGTCGTACCTCAGTACAGCTTGAGCAGAAGAGTAATATCCTAAAATATGTTTCCATTACTCTCTGTAACCAGGGAAAGCAGGTGATGGGATTACAGATAAATCGATCCAATTAAAATGTTCGTCATGATGATGATGATGATGATGGTGATGATGGTGATGATGATAGTGATGATGATGATGGTGATAGATGATGATGGTGATGATGATGATATTGAATTTGTCTACTAGGTGACTATAATAGAGTTGTTAAGGTGCGACAGCTTGACTGGACAAAAGACTGTTTACCAGAAGGTATGTCAGATATTTTAAGACCCTAAGTATTGGTTGGGCTGATGCTTGAACCCCCCCCCCCCCTCCCCACACACACAACATGCTGGTGTCCAGCTGAGCTAATTGTGCGGGCTCCTATAAATGCAATTCAGAATAACATTATTTTGTTTTGCTTTTGTAATCAGATGAAGGTGGTTGTGAGTTTGGTTGGAGCAATGAGGACAGGCATGAACTTGATAAGATTACAGTCTTGATTGCTGCAGATGGTAATAACTTAACACTACCATTAATAATAGTATCTTTTCAAGAGCCTTTTGCATTTAGACATGATAATGAATGTAAGATTACTGATAAGCCTCCAAGTTGTGGTAAAGACATAACGTTTTGGTTATGACTAATGTTAGCCTACATCAGAACAAGGCAGAAATTAATTTGCTTATTTGTCTTCCTGTGGTACCTAATTTAATTGATCGGTCTTCCTGTTGTATGGATGCACATGCGGTTTTCTTAAACGTCTCGTGGGCTCATAAGTAAATAAATGTACACCACCATCTTTGATATTTACTTGAGCCAGCACTATTTTTTGCAGAAAACAATATTCGTCAGCACACGTCACTACCACAGGAAGACCAATCAACAAATTTATTTCTGCAGTGCTCCCTTGATCAGAATGATGATGAAAATCTGATGATAGTATTGGTGTTGTTAATGAATGGTATGATATAGTTGGTGGTGATCGTGATGGTGATGATAATGATGACACTGATTATAGTAGTGCTCATAATTCTGGTGATACTATGATACTAATGATGTTGTTAAAACTTATTTACCATGTAAGATGAGGATATCATTAGAGATATTGAGGATCTTAATAATGATGTACTTACTTTTCAGTTATTTACGATAATCAACTCACAGATGCATTTTTCAAAAAAGTGGTTCATTATCTCCATAAGAATGACAGTGCTGTGCTTTACATTACGATAGAAAAAAGGTTAGATCTGACGCTAGATTTTGAGGGGGGAGGGGCTGAGAGAATAACTAAATAGGGGAGGCCATTTTTTGTTGGGTAGGGGGGGAAGGGTAGGGAATTTATATCCTCTTCGGAAGGGTGGGGACGTTATCACTTTCTGATGATGTACGAATAAAGCCTTTGAAATATAGAGAGCTTTCTTGTGAGGTTATAGGGGACATATACCCTTTAATTAGGGAAAGAATATTTTTTATGCAGCGATAAGGGATATGACAAATACTGTGTGGGTACAGTATAAGGCAAGAGAAATGGTGTTATCTTGAGATTATTTTAAAACTCTGTTCTTCTTCTGCAGGCTTAATTTTACTCTAGAGTTTTTGGAGGTTTCATGTCCAGCATATGACCACTTCATCAACACACTACAAAAACTAGAATCAGAACAAGTCTTACAATCAAGGAAAATACCCACCAGCTTTAAACAGTTCTTGGAGTATGAGAGAGTCAAGGAACTGGTACGAATAATGGGAAATATCTGTCTGTCAGTCTCCCATCCCATCCCATTCTCTCTTCTTCATTTCCCTGCCCTTCTCTTCTCTTCTCTTCTCTTCTGTTCTGTTCTGTTCTGTTCTGTT